CCCTGGATATGTGGGTCTAAATCTCATCCCAATGTCACATGAGGTTGCAAAAATAGTCCTGATTATTCACCATCGTGATTTTATTGGTATCCCTTTAGTGCTTGTCATTACGAGCTATTTGAGTATGAAAATTTCAACTTGTGTGGCTTTGATACTCGTATCCTTGGTAATGCAGCAGACCGAGATTCTATGTAAGATTTATAAGGGAAAATATTCAAATGCTGAGAAATGAAGTGTACTTGGATTGCATGAGAATGACCATTTGAGAACGCGAGTGTATATATTTAAATGTTAAGAAAATATTATACACACACACACACCAGGGGGTCGGGGGCGGGTAAAAAAGGCTAAAACTGCCTCCATGGAGTTTCGAGCCCAAAACCCCCCATATGGGAGAGTGAGTCGGCGACCGGTTGAGTTGGACCGCTTCCTCAGAAAATATTAAATATTATGGTGCAGTTCCAATAAAATCCGTCTTCCTGCGTGAAATGCGAGCACCCACGTTTTACTCAATTTGATGCACTGTGGAGCTCATTGGTGCACCTTTTGAACTTTAGTCCAACCATGCGAACAATATAATAGTACATCAAATAAAACGCGGTGGCAGTTGGGTAAACGAAACAAAGTATTCTGCCAGTAGAAAAAAGTTACTAGCTTTATGTAACTATGGATGGAATCTACCTTTGGTGCATACCATAGGGACTAAAAGTGTACTATTTTTACACTTAAAATTCATTTAGAATACACTAAATGTGTGACAACTCGGTTATGTTTCTGTTTATTGCAGGCTGCTGAACAAATATATCCTTGCATTATCCAATATCTATGCCGTCATGATGTCTGGCTGGAATAATGAGGATGCCTGTTGTTTTGCTTGCTTCTAATATGGTACTCCGTATATGTTTTTTTCCCTATCATCTTGCATTCTTAGAGTATCCGACAACATTATATGTTGTCTTAAATGGTAATTGTCATTTAACAAAATAACTCGCTATAGCAAGTTAAAATGGCAAATTGCTTTCTTTTATTGAAAGAAAGCAATTTAGTTAAACAGACAACTAATTTGAAATTTAGTTAAATAGAAGCTTCTACTATTTCCAATTCATCACTCAAGTCCCTATACTAAAAAAAGTATCATATAAATATATAAGTATGTTTACTTTACAAATACGGTCAATCAAGTCATTCTAACTTTCTAAGCAAGTTATTTTATTAAAAAAATCAACTAAAACAATTGATAAATCTTATAAAAATTATACGTAGTATACATTTGAAAAATGATGTAATAATAATATAAAAATAGAGTTTTTTCCATTTGCGGTCCCCCGACTATTGTGTCATTGACATTTTTTGTACTCGACTTTCAATTTGTCCAATTTTAGTCCTCAACTATTGTGTTAGAGACACCTCCTCGACTTCAAAGTTTTCCACATTTAGTTCCTTGAGTACTATAAATTTGACACTTTTAGTCCTTTCACTATGATATTGACACAATAAGTGGAGGACTAAAAATGTCATTATTATAATAGTTGAAGGACCAAAAGTGTCACTTTTATGAAAGTTGGAGGACTAAATATGGAAATTTTTAAAGATGGGTAAAGTGTTTCTAGTGCAATAGTTGAGCACTAAAAGTAGAAAAAATCAAAGTCGAGCACCAAGTGTCAATCAAATAATACTCGGGGGACTAAAAGTGGCAAAAACTCTATAAAAATAGAATAAATTCGTAAATAGATGAATAATGTAAAACGTTGAAATAAAAAATAAAGTCAGAAAAATGGGGAAAAAATTGAAAGTGTAATAAATACGATAGTACAAAATTAAAATGCAATAACATTTAAAAGATGTAGAATATATAAATAATAAATAATGCCGAAAATGCAAATTAATGGACTGTGAGTCTGTGACATTCTTAAATTATCCACAACTTTTATTTATATTTCTTCGAATTTTAACATTTTTTTAGTTTTCTATTATAAAAGCCCTGCTATTATAGGTCAAATACCGGTTAAAAGCCCTCACTGGTCAATTTGTTTAAGTGTACTTGTATGATATTATTTGGTATAGAGGCGTAAGTGATAGATTGGAAATAGAAGAAAGGTTTATTTGACCCTTTCACAACCTTTCCAAAACATAAAAGTTGCACCTTGGACAAAAAACATTTTTTTAGGATGGGTGGAGTACAAACGTTTGTCACCTTGCTATGTTATAATGCTCAATTAGTTTTGTTCTCATTGTAGGGTGTATGAGGATACAACTTCACCAAGCAAATAGTTACAGTGGAATTTGAAATGCCACCTTTTAAGCCCTGTTTACCTGTTTGGAGTTGATTAGTTATCTCCATTTCACCATGCTTTTTGCACACAGCGTATCTGTGTTTTCAGTTTAAGTTGAATGAAGTTATACATATAGTTTAATACCGAAGAATTACCTTTGAATGTATATATGACTATATTAAGCATTACCTTTGAATTTTCATTACTACAGGCTTGAATGTATATATGACTATATTAGGCAATACCTTTGAATTTTCATGTTGAATATGCGAAGTTTCTCTGAGTTAAAATTTGAGATTATCTACTCCGTACTTACTTTTCATTGATGAGGTAAATATATTTTGTGCAAGGGTAAAGCAAGTTTACCAATGTCATGGAGATGGTGATTTTGGTTTTCCTTGTAGCAATACTTATTTGAAAAAAGCATGAGCGGTGTGGCTCGCTTGTTTGGCCATTCACTCTCAAGTCTCCCCTTTGTGAGAGGTGTGGGGATCAACTCCTATCAACAGAAATGAGGGAGGTCTTGCATCCAATGAGTTTTATGATGTGTAATTGGTTTGCATGAAAAATGACCATTTTGAGACCGCAAATTAAATAAATAAGAGATGTCACATCTTTCATATTGAACCTCGTCACAACTTGTTCCCTTAACAAGCTAATGTGCGGCTTTAGCTGACACCAGCTTCAAAAGAAGTAATGGATCAATGGGTATTCCCAAATATGGTCAAGAGGCCGTTTGGTAGCACTGTTTTTCGGCTTATCAGGCTTATCAACCAACTTTTTCACCAAACACGTAACTTTTGCTTTCGCGCGCTGAAATGTGTAATAAGCAGAAAAAGTAAGGTTGGAGTTGCTTTTCTGGTTGTATTGACTGAAGTTACTATAGATGACCATTTTAGTTATTTTTACATATATTTTAAAATTAATTTTTTCTTAAATCAGCAGAATCAGCCAATGCAGTCACTTCAGCCAGAACTTCATAAATTTCAGCGGAAATAGCCAAATCAGCCGGTTTTCGTGCTACCAAACGGGCTCCAAATCATCAATGTATGAAGTAAATGATTATCATCATCATAAGATTAAGTAAATCAACACCCTTTTCAGCACTAACTACTCTGAGAACTTCTAAAAAAGATTTAAATGCAACATATTAGGGTCGATTGTTGCAAGGGTTAAAAATGGATTACCAGTCACCATTTTCATAAGGATCAAAAGTTTCATCAAAGACGACTGCAAGAGATCACCATTTGAGCTTCCATTGACAATGCAAAATGTGTTTTCCAAGCGGAAGAGGTGCTCCATGGTCACCATCCCATTATCCTTGATCACGTTCTAAATATCTGCTACTGTCTCAATAAGAGACTTGGGCTTTTGCCGGGTCGTATCCGCGACTATGAAAGTGTGGTGCTATTGCTACAAAGCATAATTTCTGTGAAATGGTTGATAGACGCACCATTACAAGCACATTTACTTAAGGGGCACATTTAAAAGTGAGGAAGACCACTTACATGTTCTGGCAGAAGGGCCCTATGTTCTTTTCGGAAAGACTATGTACCTTAAAGAGCTTTCGAATGATTTTTCAACAGATGGGGAAGAATTTCTGAAACTGCCAATTTGGGTAAAATTTCCCAAGTTATCTATGCGACTATGGAAAGCGAAAGAAATTGGTATGATAGCATCACAAGTGGGAGTACCTATAAAAACGATAAGGTCACTCAAGACACGGTTTATCCCCACTTTGCACGAGTGCTTATTGAGGTTGATGTTTCTAAACCCCCGGTGCTACAATTTCCTATTATTCCACCCTCGGGCAAAGAATACATGCAACAAGTAATTTATGAGACCTTTCCGGAATATTGCTTCCATTGCAAAAAATATGGTCACCACCCCTTCACATGCTTGATTCTTAATCCGCCTAAGGATAAAGCTATGGGGAAGCTTACTACCAAGGAAAAAGGGAAGGGGGCTGCCACTCCTTCTCCAGTTGGTAATGATGCTAACGAACCTCCTTTTATTACGGTGAACCGAAATAACAAAAAGGGAACCTATGTGCGTAAGGGGCTGGTTACAAGTGTTGGCGCTACATCTACATAGCCTACTGGACCGAGGCTCCAACCAAAGGGAAAAGACCCTGCTGCGGCCATACCTTCTGCCAGTGGATCCAACGCCCCTGTTCCTTCTCTTGTGGCGACCAAGGATGCGGCTTTGACTACTGAGTCCGATCCTATCTTTGACTGGGAGGGGCGGTTGGTTAGAAGCGTGCACGAGCTAGAACCGGATGACATTATCAACAAATTCGTGACGAAGGAAAATGGGGCCCACATAGCATATGTCAAAAAGCGTCACCAAATCAAGAGCTATATTCCGGTTTCTAGGCTGAAGAAAAACTTTCAAAGGGAGAATAACCTTGATGCTCCTGCCATGGTGTTCACTGACCCATGCTTGATTGCGCTTCCGGGAGTTAGACGCACACGAACATGGTACAATTTTAATAAAAATATCTTTACTCTTAATGTTGCTAGCTTCTTTGATGTGCAGGCCCGCCACAATGTCGATTTCCTACAAACTAAGCAACTTTTGGCCATTGAACGTATTGCCAACTTAGAAATATTCAACCTGGAAGCTGCCAGCTCGTTGCCTTTTGCTGCAAATGCAAAAGATGACTCTCCAGCCGCTGCCTTTGTTGAAAGCCGAGGTGACCCAGCCATTAATGGAGGAAAGGGTACCTGGTCACCAATATGTATGAGATGGGTTATGATGATGTGGTTACAATGGTCTGCTTAGATGAGAAAAATAAAACCATTGCATATGCATGGGAAACAGACCAAGTACCGAAGGGAATTAACATTGTCAAGTTAGGGGCGAATCTGGATGAGCTCAACTGGGATGATACCGAGGTCAACTTCACTGAAGATTTTCTCTTAAGCTGCCCGGAGGTCACAAAAAATGGTGAATGGTATAATTTTGATAAAATTGCTTTTATTCAGCGTGTTTTATCGTTTTTTGACCCTAACCAAGACAGGGACAAGAAATATTTGAAAGAAATGAGGAGAAGAGCCAGGAAAGAAAAGAAGGATAAAGGAGGTATAGACCCTGAAGATGAAGCATATGCTTCGGATCTATATCTCTCTTGATTTATGTGAGGTTTGCTCTCGGTTTTAATAATCTTTTTTATGATTAATATTGCTTCTTGGAATGTTAGAGGATTAAATAAATCCTCTAAGCATAATATAGTTAGGAATTTTATTAAATTGAATAAGATTTCTTTATGTGTTTTTTTGGAAACAAAAATGACTAAGGAAAAAATTACAAATTTTGTTGCTAATAAATGGCCCGGTTGGCTATTTGAAACTAATCTTGATTTTATTAGTGGTGGCCGAATGGTGGTTATGTGGAACCCTGGTTTGTTATCCTGTGTGGTGCATGAGATTGGAATTGGTAGCCAACATATGCATCTTGAGTGTGTGTGCCGTATCACACAAACCACCTTTTTAGTCACCTTTGTCTACCCGCTTTATACTGTCTTGGAGCGAAAAAATTTATGGATTTATCTTACTAATTTAGGATGCCGGCTCACAGAACCTTGGATTGTTGTGGGTGACTTTAATTGTGTCTGTGCCCCAAGTGAGAGGATGGGGTCTACCCCTCCCTCGGCATACATGATGCAAGACCTATCTGACTTTAAAATTGCAGCTAACCTTGAGGATGCCCCATCCACGGGGGAATTCTTCACGTGGAATAGGGGCTCCTTATGGGCCAAGCTTGACAGGGTACTTTTAAATGATGTTTGGGGACAGAAAGGAATTGTGTGTAAGGCCCATTTCTGTGAAATGGAGGTAGAGTTTGATCATACGGCTTCCGTATCTTCTATACTCTTAAACTCCTCTTTAAGGCCGAAACCCTTTAAATTTTTTAATATGTGGATTAAACACAAGGACTTTGCTAATATAGTATTGCAGAATTGGAATTTTTTTGTTGATGGTACAGCTCAATACGCGCTTGCTAAGAAGCTTAAGGCGCTGAAAGCACCCTTAAAGAAGCCTAATGAAGTGGAGTTTGAGCATATCTCGGCAAAAGCAAAATTGGCAAAGGAGGAGTTCAAAAGATTGAACAAACTGATGATGGCCTCACCGATTGATGAGGAGCTTCAAGAGCAATTGTTACTGGCTAGGAAAAAGGCGACGTTTCTGGGAGAGGCCGAGGCTAGCTTCTTCCAACAACGGGCCAAAGCTATGCACATTCTTGAAGCGGATAAAGGCACGCGATACTTCCATGCTATTGTGAAGCGGAATGCAGCCCGGAATGTTATATCCTCGATCACGCGGGAAGACGGCAGTATTACTAAATCTTTAAATGATGTTGGTGATGTATTTGTTAATTTCTTTGTTGATTTGTTTGGATCTCATGTGGATACCCTTGACCTGGACCACTCGGTTTTAGGTACTGGTCCTATGATTGAGCCAGTTGCTCATGATGGCCTTCTTGCTCCGATAACGGATAAGGAAATTAAAGAAGCCTTGTTTGATATCGGGGATAATAAGGCACTTGGACCTGATGGGTTCTCCTCGGCTTTCTTTAAAGCCAACTGGAGTGTAGTGGGGAATGACATGGTTCAGGCTATTAAGGAGTTTTTTCGAACGGGAAAATTGCTTAAACAGATAAACCACATTGTGATAACACTTATCCCTAAGACTAGTCACTCTCCAAAAGCCTCAGATTATCGACCCATTTCCTGTACAAATGTTTTGTACAAGGTTATTGCTAAAATTATTGCGGCTAGATTGACCCTGTGCCTTCCAGGGTTGGTTAATCAAACACAGGGAGCATTTGTGGATGGCTGCCTGATGTTTGATAACATTTTCCTTGCCCAGGAACTTGTTAGAGGATACAACAGGAAGCGAATTTCACCAAGATATATGATAATGGTTGATTTGCGCAAGGCCTATGATACCATATCTTGGGATTTCCTTCGAAATGTCTTAAGGGGCTTGGGCTTCCCCGATAGATTTGTTGGGTGGATCATGGAATGTGTATCCATCACATCGTTTTCTATTTCGTTAAATGGAGTTTTACACGGTTTTTTCAATGGAAAAAGAGGCATAAGGCAAGGGGATCCTATGTCCCCATTGTTATTCGTACTATGCCTTGAATATTTTTCGAGACTTATAACCAAAAGAGTCAATGAATCTAAATTTAACTATCACCCGATGTGTGGGACTTTAGGTATTACTCACTTGGCCTATGCGGATGATTTTATGCTCTTTTTGAGAGGGGACAAATATTCCATTGAAATATTGGTCAACTCTTTCAAAGAGTTTGGGGATGTTTCGGGCCTTAGAGTAAACCATCAAAAGTCTAATATTTTCGTTGGTGGTGTTAGGGACATTGAATTGCAAAACATACTAGATCTTGTCGACTATGGGCATGGCGTATTCCCGGTAAGATACCTTGGAATCCCATTTGCACCGCTTAAGGTATTCGTTGCCCATATGCTTCACTTTTGGACACGGTCACTGATTTTCTTAATGCATGGAACACCAAGACAATATCCTATGCCGGTAAGATAGAGCTAATCCGATCCGTGATCCAAGGGGTCCAATCGTTTTGGCTCCAAGTTTTCCTGGTCCCCCAAACTGTTTTGGATAGGATTGTGTCTATATGTAGAATTTTTTTGTGGGGTGGCAAATTTGCCAAAGTCACGTGGGATGACATATGTCTCCCTAAGGAGGAAGGGGGACTTGGCATTCACAATGCCAAGGTGTGGAATCACGCTCTCTTAGCTCGGACCCTATGGGACGTACACAAAAGAAAGACACCCTTTGGGTGAGATGGGTGAATGGTGTCTACCTTAAGGGTAGAACCGTGTGGGAATTCATCCCACACAACCGAGACTCACAGCTCATGAAGAGATTGAGTCTCATCCGGGATAAGGTTCGAAGTTGTTTTAATAATCTGAATGAAATGATTTTAGGCCTTAATTCAAGAACCAGGAATGGGAAATTAGCCTCTGCTAAGATCTATGATTTGTTAAGAGTAAAGGGTGAAGTTAGGACTCCTATGAGTTTCATTTGGAAATCCTACATCCCCCCAAATTCTCTTTCAACATGTGGCTGGCCTTGAGAAACCGGCTTCCCACACAGGATAGCCTTGGTTATCTCCACATTGTAAATAGGTGTGACCTTTGTAAGGGTGGTTTGGAGACAATACCACACCTTTTTTTCCTTTGTCCCTTCACTTGCAGGGTGTGGCAGCGCATAAGGAACTGGATGGGATTTGGACGTGAAATGACAACACTGTTGAGTGCAATTAAGTGGATCATGAAGACTCATAAAGGCTTGAAAATGAAGGGCAAGGCGGCCCGGATAGCATTCTGTGCCGCGGCCTATTATATTTGGCAAACAAGGAATGAAACGAGATTTGATGATGGAAAGAAGACTGAAGATGATGTTGTGGCTAAGATCAAACATGTGATCTACAAGATACTTTTTAGTATATACCCACATGACTTGATAAATTTTTGAAGAGGAGTCAAGCTTTTTTGGATGCCACAACATAGACTATAGATGGGTTTTTTGACTTTCGACTATGTGACCGCATGTTTTTGCATGGGCATCACCGATGTACTTTTTGAACCTTTTGATGGGCCAAGTATTATACTTGGTTATTTTGGCATAGATTAGAACAAATAAAAACCTCCTTTCACCCTCACTTTATGTGGGGGTGGGGGAGGTTTTAAGAGATCTAAGATAAGTGATGTATAGTTTTTCTGGGTGTTAATATATATATTTACATTTCATCCAAAAAAAAATTTAAGGGGCAGTCGCAGTAGCCACACTCCTTTTTTTGTAAGATGCTAAGTAATATCGTTTGGCATTTGTTTTAAAGATAAATCTTTGACACGAGTTGAGAATCAAACGTTCGTGTTCTGAAAAATACAAATTAAAATCGAAATACAAAATGTTTGATCGTGTTTCGAATGAGGCACTCTCACACCGGTAGGAAAAAAGGAAGGGCGTAAATGGATTACTTTCTAGTAAATTTCTATAAATATGCTGATATATTTCGTTCATTTTTTATCAACCAAATAAAGTAAAGATCGGAAGTTTATGTAGATGAAAAAGAAATAATACTTCGGAAAAAAGGAAACGTTTTGTGGTATACTACAGCCACATTTTGTGGTATATTTCTACAAATTAATTAGTTAAAAGGAAAAATGGTATACTATAACCACTCGCTCTCAGTGCCGATCCTACATAAAGTGGGGCCTGAGTCGAGCTTTCATAAAAGGGCCCTATACATAGTATTTGTTTTGTAATACAGCATATTTAGAAATAGAGGATTAATATCACAAAAAACTCAATACTTAAAATAAAATTCTTACGTTATAACATAAAAAAATCACAATTTTGATTAATTTTGGATTGAAAATTACACAATTTTTATCCCGATAATCTTAATAAAAAAATAGATCTAAATTCTCAAATATAAAATATGAATTGCAAGGCATGAGCCTGCTTGACTAGTTTGTAAGACAAATAAGAATCAAGTTGCTTTTAATTTTTAAATAGCATTTGTTTATGTAGATACTTCAAATCTCAGCCAATAATATAAGATTTAGTAAATAGTAATAGCAAATAGTTATAGAAAATAAAAGTTAATAAGTTAGTTCATTTGGGTATTTACAAATCAATAATTTATCAAATTAGCAAATCATACTAAAAGCTAGATTTTTGGAAATAATAACATATTGACAAATTTGAGACTTCATGTTTGTACTTCACTACTTCATTGATAACTCTATTGTCCCGCTTGTTTTTAGTACATATAGGGGTTGTTTGGAACTGGTTTTGATTCAGCTTCTTTTTTAAAGTAGAAGCAGAATAAGAATCAGTTTTCAGAAGTTGGCCCCCCCAACTTCTAAAAAACTGATTGTATGAGTAAATTAGAGCACCAAAATCAGTTTTACATTTTTATCCAAACACTCCAACTTCTGCTTATGCTCCCTGAAGGAGTCGAAACAGTTTTAAAATCAGATCCAAACATCCCCATATAATATAAATGTTTTTAAAATTTTTGGGCCCCTAATTTTTAAAATTTTTTGGGGCCCTGAGGCCCAAGCCTCACTGGCCTAAGGGAAGGACCGGCCCTGCTCGCCCTCCTCCGGAGTCCGGAACCATCTCCATGCGAGGAAGCAATTTGGGGAAATTTTTTATTTTCGTAATGTTTTTACTTTCGTAGTACTCATTTTTTGTTTAAGTTCGAGCAACTATGGTTGAAGTATTTTGATTTTTGAAAAACTTTGGATAGTTTAAGGCTTCTTCTTGCCCGTTTTGTGTCTAGCGAGTCAGGTTGCTTAGTTTGGGTGGCTGACTCTAATTCTATTCCTAAGGCTTACGATTGGGTCTGTAATAGCTGTTTGGATTTTGTCTTGCATGTTTGCTTTACATGAATGAAAGTCGTTTTGATGATAAAAAAAGGGAACATGGTAAATTTTTTTGGGCGGTCCAATCTAGGTCAAACTGTTGCTAAACTTGAAAAGTATCCATAAGATCTAAGGTTATGAAAATCAAGGACCGGAACAAGGTTCATTGTATTCAATCGAAATTGGATTTTTGATAGACTGGAGTCAGGTAGGGCATGGTCCAAAGTCCAAACGAAAAATCATCATATTTAGATGAACCCACATTTGACTAAGCTAGTTCACCTGTTTTCCAAATGGAAAAACATAATATATATGGGAGGAATGATCTTGTCCAGCAGCTCCCGGTCCGAACAGTGTCCGAACATGGCCATTTGGGGCACTTCCCAGTAGAATTTTTTGATGAAATTTTTTTAGCATGTTCTTCATCAAGTCTAGTTTGTGCATACCAAATTTCAGCTCAAAATTCGTTCGGGAAGGCATTCAAATCATTTTTTGAAGTTGACTGCGTTTTTATATGTACATTTTGACGCAGTCAACTTCAAAAAATGATTTGAATGCCTTCCCGAACGAATTTTGAGCTGCAATTTGGTATAGACAAACTAGACTTGATGAGGAACATGCTCAAAAACTTTCATCAAAAAATTCCACCGGGAAGTGCCCCAAATGTCCATGTTAGGACACTGTTCGGACCGGGGGCTGCAGGACAGGATCACTTCTCATATATATGGTATTACATTGTGTTTAAATTTTGATAATATTTTTATAGAAATTGATAGATTAAAATTAAAATAATATTTTGTTTGCATATGTAAAATTTTCAAATCTGTGTAACATCCATTACTCCTAACTAGGAGTACCGTTCTAAAAATCGGTTTAATTGGACCGATTAATCGGCGCCGAGGCACTAGGCGGCCCTAACTGTAGAGGATTAATCGGTTCAGTCGGCTAAATAATTGGCCTAGTCACCCGCCTAGTCGGTGCCTAGGTGTCGGGCGTCCCTAAACCGCTTGACTAGCGCCTATTGAGTTTGTACGTTTGTGCGCAGTATATATGTTTGTACGCCGTACATCCGACCCCTTACACCATCGCAAGTGTGAGAACCTTTGCGGCACTAATGTAATAATGATGAGCAAGTTAGTCATATTAATTATTAAACATTATTTCATGAAGATCTTTTACATATACTACGTATAATTTTCTCAAGATTTTACCAAATTTGAGATTCATTCCTAAATCCTAGTTCCAAATGTGCACTTCGTTTGTCCAATAATTTTCTTCTTTTTTTCGGATATCCTGATTTTTTCATGTGTAGCTTATATTATTCAATCTTTTTTACACATAATACTTTAACTAAACATTTTAACTTTATTAATAAGCATACTAAGAGCCCGTTTGGAGAACTCTGTTTTCGGCTTATCAAGCTTATCAGCCAGCTTTTTCACCAAACACGTAATTTTTACTTTCGCGCGCTGAATTGTGTAATAAGCCGAAAAAGTAAGGTTGGAGTTACTTTTCTGGCTGTATTGGCTGAAGTTACTGTAGAAGACCATTTTAGCTATTTTTACATATAATTTTTTCTTTAATTTATTAATAAAATATATTTTTAAAATATTTTTTTCTTAAATCAGCAGAATCAGCCAAAACAGCCACTCCAGCCAGAATATCATAAATTTCAGCAGAATCAGCCAAAACAGCCGATTTTGGTGCTACCAAACGGGCTCTAATTCAAAGCGAGAATTCTTTTGGGTACGAATAAATATTAAATAAATTATTTTAAAAAGAATTGACTAAGTTATTTCTAAAACATGTGAGAACAGCAGGTTGAGTTTATGTAATAATTGGGTCACTGCGAAATGGTTGGGTGGTATTGGTATGTTTGACAAAGTAAAAAAGATTGTGGATATGATAGGCCGATAGGGACAACAACTTAATAAGAAAGGAGAATAGACATGAAGAAAAAACAATTTATCTCACCAATTTCTTGCAAAATACTTTGGATAAAGACAGTACGAAACAATGCCATAAGTTTATGTTTACCTTTACTGTGGCAATAATAAAACCATCCAGACAAAGAATCATTGCCCTTTCAAAAATCTCTAGACAAATTGCTGTATTATTATGACTTGCTTTAAGCCTTTAACTTCGTAGTTTAAATACCACACTTTAACAAGATGTTTTTCTTTGATTTCTGGAAATATCATTTTTACCAATGGTAAATATTAACGTAAAATAGTCTGTTTTGACACCGTTTGATATTATTCAGATTTTTTTTAATTAAAGAAATTTTATTAAAAGGAATCTCGAGAGTAGAATTATTATTACTTGTGTGTAATAAAGTAAATTGATTAAAGGGAAATTTTTTGTGTTTACCCACATTAAAATGTTGATCTCATGTTTTAGAGTTTGTAAATGTCACTTTTCATTTGTCCGAGGTGTTGCAAATGTGGTCCTCACCGTGATTTTTTTAAAAGTTATAAAAGTTAACGGTGTTACTTTAGTTTTGACAGTGTGGACCACATTTACAACAACTTCGACAATTGAAATGTGACATTTACGACCATAACTCTAACAAGGTCAACACAAAAGTCTATGATTGATGTCACATAGTACAATTTTTTTCTTACATTTGTGTAAGGTACAGCTCTTACAAATCATAAATCAAAATTTATTGATTGATTTTACCAAGTTTAATTATGATGTGTACCTTTTTCTTTATTTAGACAGGGAGACATAGAAGAACAAAAAAACACAAACAAGCAGACTAAGCCTAACTTCCCTGCCTCATTCATACATTTGCCAAAGATGTAGTAGAGAAGGGAAGCAAAATGCAGACCTGCTTTGGTTGCAGCATCTCAGCCCATCCCTTGTTCTTTTGTTCCTTCTCAGCCCAGCCCACTTAAATCTGGCATGTTATCCCATGGCAGAAATGCATAACTCCTAGCAACTCCAATTCCCCTTCATCATTGATTAGTGATGGGAAAATTAGCCCTTCTTGTCTTCCATGTCCCCTTTCTTTTCAACTGACAGTTAAAATTCACATCTAATTTCTTCTCCATGTTTTTTTAACTTGTTGAAAAGTTTATGCCTAGCTGTATATTATATATATGTTGCACCATGTTTTATGTGTGTGTATACAAATTAAATTAATACTTTGTTGAGAGAGAAATAGAATATTAGTGTTTGGACTTTGGAAGTATAGTTCAATGGAGTCCAGCAGTACAGCTAGAAATCTTCTAAGGTTTGCAGCTTTTTCACCAGCTTACTATCAAGGGAGGAAGGAAGATAATAGCAGCAGAAACATCATTGATTTGGGATTAAGCCTTGGGGTTATGAACAACCATGAAGAGACTAATTACCATAATCCATCTCCATGTGGTAAGGTTACATATACTCATCAGTTTGAATATTATTTCATTAGTCAGCAGGAAAATAAGTTAAGTTGACCAAATAGTTGTGTGTAATTGTAGTTTAAAATTAGATCAATCCATGTTCTGAGAATGTGAGAGTAACGTTTAAAAAAAAGAACGGTCACTTATACATATCAGAGGTATTATATTTTTGTTAAATTGATATTATCCGTTAACCATTTCGTCAACAATTAATTACACCAAACTTTACTTATACACGATTCAGTTTTATACTAGATCAGACTTAATTTAACAAACTAAATCAAATTAGAAAATTTGAGTTGAAAACATATTTAGCCTTCAATATATTTTGTGAGATTATCCCACCTTTTGTATTTTCAATAGGGCCCATATATCCTATTTGGGTATGCCATAAGAGAGTTGTCGGACGAATGGGGAAGACTTAGAAGTGCCACATCTCACATGAGATGGTATCTATAGCGGGCTCCACAATGACCATGAGTTTAATAGTTATGAGCCCGTTTGGTAGCACGAAAATCGGCTGTTTTGGCTGTTTCTGCTGAAATTTATGAAGTTCTGGCTGAAGTGGCTGTTTTGGCTGATTTTGCTGATTCTGCTGATTCTAGAAAAAAATATTTTAAAAATATATTTTATTAATAAAATAAAGAAAAAATTACATGTAAAAATAGCTAAAATGGTCATCTACAGTAACTTCAGCCAATACAGCCAGAAAAGTAACTCCAACCTTACTTTTTCTGCTTATTACACAATTCAGCACGCGAAAGTAAAAATTACGTGTTTGGTGAAAAAGTTGGCTGATAAGCCTGATAAGCCGAAAAAAGGGGTCTCCAAACGGGCTCTATATCTTTAGAATAAAAAAAAACTCTGATGATAAATGGAAGAAAGTATTCAAGGGTGTTTTAATGAGGTTTGTGTAGTACTACACAAGTACATATGGTGTACTAGAAAAAACAAGTTTTACCTTATACCAAGTACTCCCTCTGTCCTTTTTTTATTTAGCCAAACACTATTTTCAAATCAAAGTTGTTCAACTTTGACCGATTATATATTTATACATGGTAATATTGATAATATGCAAATTATATGAAAATGTTCTTTGTTGAAAATACTATCATAAAACTATAAATTTATTAACTTCTACATAAATATATTAGTTAAAATAATAGAACAAAATTTATCATCCTTGATTGGAAAAGTCAAAGTTGACTAAATAAAAAGGAACAGAGGTAGTATAATATAGCCAAATCAGAGGCAACAAAGGAATATTGAGGAAAACGGGTAAAAAATGTTTATATTAAATGACTTATCCCTTTGGGGACATCCGATAAAATTGAAACTATACAAAGAAGATTAGCATTGCCCTTGTACAAGGATGACATATAAAAATTTTTATATGACTTTTTACATAAACATTTTTATATCCAATTTGGGTGGATCGAAACTGACATGGCTCCTCTTTAACTATGCCCAGAGATGAAATTATGTTACGTTTTCAAGATATATACTAGTCTTTATAATGATGGCCATATTTCCAAAATATGTTACAAGGAATTTTCTTATAATATATTGCAGAAAATAGCTACGAAGAGCTGATAGATTGGCAAGATTTGCACCCACAGCCAGGGAATAGAAGAATTAAGGGAAGGAGTGTGCATTTAAGAAAGTACTCATCAGCAGAGACCTGTGATGAAGAAGACGATGATGAAGTGATTGAAAGCAAAGAGAAGAGATGGGCTTATGTGAAAGTCAACATGGATGGAGTCATCGTTGGAAGGAAAATTTGCCTTCTTCATCATTTCAGTTACCACACTCTTGCTCTTCAGCTAGAAGACATGTTCGGTATGTTTCAAATGTTTCTACATTTTTCCATCACAAAATTAAGCCCATTCCAATTTTTGTGATGAATTATGGGGCTTTCTCTGATAAATATGTGATTAGGTTTATAAATATTTAAAAAAAAACAGAAAAGATTGGGATGGACAGATTAATGGTTCGAGATAAAAACTTATGGGGTATTTGAAATTGATTTTGCTTCTGCTTCTTTTTTAAAAGAAGCAGAATCTTAATCAATTTTCAAAAGCAGATGTCTCTCCAACTTCTAAAAAATTTCTTCTAAGAGCAATTTAGAGCACCCAGAAGTCTGCACCTTCAACCAAACACTCCAATATTTGATTCTTCTCCTTGAAGGGGGAGAAACAGTTTTAAGAATCAGATCCAAACACTCTCTTAATCCTATTTTGAGTTTTTATAATTAATACTCCCTCCGGTTTTTAATAAACTTCACACTTTCCTTTTTGCGACGGTCTAAAATAAACTTCACACTTCCTTATTTCCTTTTTTGGCAAAGAAATCTATATCAAAATAGTGTCAAACAGTGCCAAACAGTGTCTCAACAGTGCCAAACAGTGTCTCAACAGTGCCAAACAGTGTCAAACAGTGCCTCAACAGTGTACTCTACAGTAAAGTCAAATTTCTTTCCTTATTTTGTGTGAAGTCAAAGTGTGAAGATTAAATAACACCGGAGGGAGTAAAATTTATCCTATTTTAGTCAAATGAAAATCTAGAGGTTGAAAATTAGTGTCATTCATTCATCAATTATGAGTGGTTGACTTCCATTTAAGTACCCGTTTTAGTGTCATTTATGATCAATTTTTGACTAGATATACGATTTCAAAGTACAACAAACCAATGCAAAAACAACAACAGTTTTTCATAAGTTTATTATCATATCAAATCAATGCTATGCTTCTCCAATTTAATATCATTTCAATTTAATAAAGTTTTACTAAATTAGTACTCCCTATTTACTCAGACATATATTTCGTCGGATCTGTGTTGAAATATCTTTGAATCTTGGATCTATTTTTAATGTGCAGGGAAGCAATCCAAAAGAGGGTTAATAAGGTTATTCGAAGAAGGTTCAGAGTTTTCCCTATTTTATAAGGATGGAGATGACGTGTGGAAGATGGTTGGAGATGTTCCTTGGGAGTAAGTTTTATGCCTTAGGCTGCTACTTTATTTGATTTTTGTAATATATGAAATAAGTTTAAAGACAAAATTAATAAAATGTTTGAGCATTAGTGCTAATTTACTGCTAAATATGTTTCTGATCTTGTAACAATGAATATAATTGATGGTCATTGAAGCAATGAAGCTAGTCATGTAAGAAGTTCTTTTTGGCAATAATGTAGGCATGGTTTGTTTAGTAAAAGTAAAGAATCAGTAAGGTGTATAATTAATTCACTAATGAATTCATGAAAAATACTCCGTAGCAGTTTAATTGTAAAGACACTATTCAAATTAGAGATATCATTTAACTGATGACGCTGAAGAGACCATTTTATTTGATTTGTTAATGTCAAACTACATTTTCAAAATATTACATCTTACACCCAAAAAATAGATTTACAAGTTTATTTTTCTTCATGAACATTATTTTATTTGATTTGTTAATGTCAAACTACATTTTCAAAATATTACATCTTACACCCAAAAAATAGATTTACAAGTTTATTTTTCTTCATGAACATTATTTTATTTGATTTGTTAATGTCAAACTACATTTTCAAAATATTACATCTTACACCCAAAAAATAGATTTACAAGTTTATTTTTCTTCATGAACATTATTTTATTTTTCTCTTATGTTGGATATATGAAGTATATCAAAATTTTATTGTATTTTAATTTAATTTTTGTGATTTTATAGAACTTTCAATGTACGTAGTTTATGAATATAAAAATATCAATTATTAACATGGTTATTTGCTGTAACTTTATCTTGAAAGTTACAAACTGCAAATCTATTTAAGATAGATAAGAAATGTGTATTTTTAATCCCTACATTTCTATAGTTGAAACTATTTGTTGATTAGTTGATTGAGAAAAAAAGAGTAATGAGCAACGTACCAAAAATGTAAGTGGTAGTAGGGGTGAGTTCGGTTCTTTCGGTTCGGTTTTGACCCAAAACCAAATACGGAATCAAAGTAAAAGTTCGGTTCGGTTTCGGTTCGGTTTAGACTCCAAAACTTGGAACCACGGTTTGTTCAGTTCAGTTTATTTCGGTTCGGTTTCAGTTTTTTCGGTTTTTTTACTAAAAAATTGTCATTTGATTTTCGGATCAAACATATTGCATAAAAATGCAAGCATACTTGAACAAATAAAGAAAATAATAATAAACAAACAAGCCTTGAATTATATGAGTATCCGGGAGAGATAAAAGTGTATATATATCTTCATTTACATTATTTGTGACTAGTTTGCAAAAAAGTTTATGAATACATACATCCTATGTGATATAGCTGAGATGAATATTTATTTGTTTGATCAATATAAAAAATTTAAGTTACAAAAAAAATTAGGTTACATAAAAATAAAAGTTAATTACTACTAATAACTAGTAAAAACATATAATCATGCAATAAATTGCAACATACATACATATAAGACATAATAGATCAATATAACTACATTATTATGGGCAATGAATGTGTAAATGCATTTATAAACTAAACTAAATCAAACATAGCACTAACATTATTTCTCTAGCTAGCACAAGAAATTCAAAGATTATTGATGATATCAAGATTAATGCTCACATTTAACAAATAAAATTTCATATTTTCTTTTAGTCCGGTTTGTTCGGTTTGGTTTTGAAGGGTAAAAACCAAAATCGAACCAAACTACTACTGTTTGGTTTGGTTTTTTACATTCGGTTTCGGTTTTTTAGCGGTTCGGTTTTATTTGGCCGGTTCGATTTAATTTGATTCGGTTTTCGGTTTTCGGTTTTTCGGACCCAGCCCTAAGTGGTAGGAGATGGATATGATGAAAAGTACTACCTATGGTAAAAAATAAGTTAATAAATTGTTTAAAATTGAAGTAAAAATAATGTGATATTTTAAAATAGGAATACTAAGCTAGATATGTTTTTAAATAAGAATACTTCCATTGAGTAACAAGATTACTAGATTATTATGATAGTAATACTGCATATTAATGTCTTATAATGTGATATGACAATTTGATTTCAACATAACTATACTTCATTTCTCGAATAGAACATTATCACATTATTTTATTTTTAGAAATCATATTGCTTTTATACCTAGTTTGGGAAATTTAACATATGTTGTGTCTTATCTTATATTTAAACGTCCCAAAATAAAATTTTCTGATCTACTTGGACTGTAATTTGTCCCAGACCAGACAAAATTAGACCAGACCAGACCAGATCAGACCAGACTTGGATAGTTATAAAAATACAAAGAAATCAGACCAGACCAGCAAATTGCAGTCCAAGTAAAAACATCCTAAATGTTACTCGAGCTCTTATTTGTTCTTACTTTTTGTTAGATTTGACATCAAAGTAAGAAATCCAATATTAAGAAATAAAGGAATTTGATTCATTTATGGAATGAGTTTAGTGGTTTAAAATAGTTTCTCATGAATTTGGGTTGACTATGAACAGGGATTTCGTGGATGCCGTGAAGCGACTGCGAATTGTGAGGAAGAAGCAACCATCCCTTTTTGATCAATGTTATAATTTTCCAAATTAGACTAAAAAAGAAAAGAAAAACAGAGAATGATCAATTTTCTGAGATGACCTTTAAGTTTAGAATGTTTCTCAAAAAATGGTCTTTTAGATCAATTAATTTTGACAATCTCGATAAGCTAAATTAGGATGTTTCTACTTGATTTGTTGGTCTGGTCTGTCTGAACTGGTCTAGTCTGGTCTGATTTCTTTGTATTTTTATAACTACCCAAGTCTGGTCTGATCTGATCTGGGACAAATTACTGTCCAAGTAAAAACATCCTTAGATAACACTAATTATTTTTGGAGGAATAGTTATTTTGAGATGTACCAAGAGTCTAAGGTTGTAATTCTTCCCAAAAATGTAAGTCTGATCGACACATTTAGCTTTTATTGCTCCAATATATTTTTTTCATTTGTAACACTAAGAACTAAGAAGTTCTTGTATTGTGACAAAGAATCGATATTCCAATTTTTACTTGATCGATGTGTGCTCCACAAAAATGACAAAATATGCTAGTAATGACAAATGTAAACTAACATTTCTATTAAATTCATTAATATAAATTCAATAGATACTTCTCAAAACCATTTTACGTATTTTGGAATCACTATTATGCATTCTCTATGCTGAGGATGTTCCATATTATTTTCTATAACATTGACAATATGTGATTGATCATAAAATTAATTCTTCTCAATTAAACACAAATAAATAGGGAATATCGATTGGACAATTATTCTTTCAAAATTGTTATACAACTTTCTCCACCACTTTAAAATTTGTTTTAACTTATAGACATTCACTACCCCATAACTCATCAGAAAAAAGATGACCTATAGGAAAAGTTCATCTATGAATGAAGAGATGTCTATAGGAAAAGTACATCTATGAATGAAGAGATGTCTACCAAGCAATTAAACAACGGTATATCATCATATAACAACTCGCGCCACAGATTTGTGTAGAAACAATTCATGGAACTGACAGGAGATAAAAAAATATAAATACAATACGGAATAATTGATGCTCATATGAGCTCTACACCATTTCTTAGACATTTCTGAGCAATCAACATGAAAAAATTATGATTAGGATGTATACATGGATTTCTGGCCAACATGTGGCATTGTTTGGCAGGGAAAATTGAATAGTACCCCCGGTTGCAATATTTAAACATAATTGAGATATTGATTTGCTTCATTAAAGACTTAAGGTACTAAAATGCATCATTACTAATAGTTAAGGCACCGTTTATGCATTTTACTCGGGGAAGTCCTTAATTATTTTCTCCAAAACTGTTCCCAGGCCTGATGCAATGCATGTTGCTTCCTCCCTTGGCATTAGGGCTACACATCTGGCGGGTTGAGTCGGATCTGCTATATTTTTGGGCCTACCCAATCTATTTGGATTAGCTATTAATCAACCCACGGTATTCAATAAAATTGGTAAACCATATATGAATGGATCAGGTAGGGACGAGTATTAAAAAAATCACTTTGATCTGGATCTTTAATGTGGGCAACTAATGCAACTAATTTTAAACTCGGTTAACTTGTTTCCAGAGTACCTAAAAATATACAAGTACCTTTTATAAGCATAAATCTTAGGTAATACCATAATAATATCAAAACATCCTTGCATAAAGGAAGTTCAGTTAGAAGCAAACATAAATATTCCCTCCGTCCCGCAATTAAGTTCACACTTTGACTTCACACAGATTAAGAAAATAAATTTGACTTTACTGTGGAGGGCACTGTTTTGCACTGTTTGACACTGTTTAACACTGTTTAACACTGTTTGGCACTATTTTGATGTAGATAATTTGTCAAATAAGGAAAGCATTGAAGTGTGAAGTTAATTTCGGAACAACCCAAAAAGCAAAGTGAGAAGTAGTTTACGGAGGGAGTATATAATAATCACCAAGTCAAAATGGTAAACATTTATAATTCCAATATCATAAAGTTCTAGATAGATGATTTGTGTTTTCTCGCACTTAAAAAGATTGTAGAATAGTGGTGAAAAGTACGAGTATCGTCTCCACAGGGACGGACAAAAGGGAAATAAGAATCAACTAAATTTAGCGATTAAAAAGAAAATAAAATAAAAGCGTCGTGCGAGATTGGTTGGTTTGGAAAATAAAACTAATCCGAACAATTAAACTAGGGGGTTCTTTCTAATTAATGACGAAGGGAACAAGGATCGATTCCGGGGTAACCAGATTTCTGGCAGATCAGGCCTAATTACATTGATGGAGTATATGGCCCAGGAACCCCCGGCCCATAGACTCCTACTTCTCCTACACAAGTCCATTGAGCTCAGGAAACAACTCAGGCCCAAGTACAACGGCCCAAGCATCCAAGTAGCCCAAAATACATACTGGGGGGCCTTCGGCCTCCTTGGCCGAAGGCTCCAGAACTCACATAATAGCCTTCTCTAGCATAAAAAGCCACTGGGAGAAAACGGCGAAAAACATTAGCCTTCGGCACTAGCAAGCCCTCGGCATCAGAGAGGTCTTCGGCTGAACCAAGCCTTCGGTTACACGAGGCCTTCGGCTACACAAGGAGCCTTCGGCTGCACAGGGAGCCTTCGGCCAAACATGCTCAATCATCGAAGATTCCTTTTGGAGACAGCCAACCACCGCATTTAATGCCACGTCACATCCGCCAACCACATTCAATGCGGTGAACGTGCCACTGCCGGTGCCACCCGGCTGATGTGACCCTTCGGCCGTCGGATTACTGACACGTGTACTCTCATCGCATTTATTGCTGCTATAAATAGCAGCCCATTTCTCATTGTAGAAAAACGAGATCCCAACTCCACACGCTGAGTTCATTTAATAAAATCGACTCTCTCTCCTCCTGTTTACTCTGACTTCTCTCTAGTTATTCCCACAATAACCCCTCGGATAAGATACCCCCCGGGTAGACTATCCATCATTTGGTGCTCTCGTTGAGAGGTCAGAACAATCAAGTAAGAAACCCTCCCCCTCTACCAAACACGAAACACCTACCAAAAATGGGAAGAACTACTCGTGCCCAATCCAAAACCCTCGAGGAGAACCACGTAGCCCCCGGCGAAACTAACGGGGCTGAGGCCTCCAACAGGTTCTTAGTGCCCGAGGGTGGTATCATCCTCGAATTGGAGCAGGCTACTGCTGACCTCCGTCAGCAGTTACAGAAGAATACCCCTGATGCCCGCATTGGCCTTGATAATCGAAGGAGGGATCGGAGTGAGAACCAAGTTCCCCCTCCGGCCCCGGCCATCGATCTTCAGGCAGCCTTTGCGGCCTTTGTTCAAAACATGGCTCTCAATTCCGGAGCCCTCGCCTCTCAAGCACCCCTTCAGCCCTGTGCTGGAGGAAACGTTATCCAACTACCACCACTCCCCCCTTCGTTCAACAATCCTCTCCCGGGGATTGGCAACGCCGAGGGGGTCATGGCGCAGGATACCGCCTCCCAAGAGGCCCAGTCCAGGGATAAGCGCCCCATGATGAAGGAGAAACCCCGGACCTCTGCACTTGAGAGGTTGGGAGGAGTTCCCGGACGCCGAGGGGTCCAAGACCGCCTCGGCAAGCAAGAATTCAGCAGGCCCCAGGAGAGTGGTGCCTCCGCTTCGGGAGCCGAGGGCATGCCTCCCCCCCGAAGCAAAGGCAAAGCCCTCCTCCGTGCCGATGACGCCAGGCACCAAATCAATCAAGCGCAATCCTTCCGGGCCAACTCCCAAGGGGTTGCCCCGAAGGATCCTAAGGACGAAATCATCGAAGCCCTCCTCCGTCAACTTGAGGAGAATCGTTAGGCACCCCCGACGGCTTCCACAGCTAGGCCAGATCCGGAGTACGCTGACCTCCGAGCACAGGTGGAGGAAATGAAGCGTAAGCTTGCCGAAGGCTCAGGCGAGCCCCTCATTCAGCTCCGCACTAGGACGCCTTTCACCCCAAGGGTGCTGGCGGCCAAAATCCCCCACAAATATCGGGGGCAACCTATTAAGCCGTGTGAGGGGAAGACAAATCCCCAAGAACACTATAGCCGTTATCAAAACAGCATGATGATGATGGGGGCGTCGGATGAATACTTATGCCGTTGGTTCCTTTCCACCTTGGAGGGTCCAGCGTATGAGTGGTTCAACCGGTTGCCCGAAGGCAGTATTGATTCTTGGCAAGAACTTGCCCACCGCTTCCTCACGCAATTTGCCGGGAGGCACCGCTCAAAGAAACACTTCTCCCACCTTCTGAATGTGAGGCAACAGAAGGAGGAAAGCCTTCGGAGTTTCCTGGAACGCTGGAGGCAGGCCTCCCTTGAGGTCGAGGGCGCCGATGACAGAACACTGATGGCCCTCTTCCACACCGTTCTCCGCAACGGTAACTTCTCCAGGAGCCTTATCACTGATCCCCCTCGCGATTATACAAAAGCCCTTCAGCGGGGGGACCGATATGCCGAGGCGGAGGAAATCGAGAAGGATCGCCGCAACACGGATCCTTCTCAGAAGAATGAAGGCAGGAATCGGCCCGGAGGGCCTCCCCCTCCGGCCAACCGAGAGGCGCAATACAACGATCGCTCCCGTGGTGGCCAAGCCAGATCCGGGGGCGGTTACAAGAACAATCCGAAGGCATGGGCGCAACCCATCCTCCTTGAGCACCCACGCACTCCCCTGACGCATCCTGTCAGCGTCATTTTGGATCACGCCGAAGAGCGAGGGCTCGTGGAACGAGACTCCCGCACACCCCTCGAGATTTATGCCCTCGGCCCTGATGAGCCATATTGTCGCTTTCACCGCCACCACGGGCACAAAACCGACGACTGCCATCAGCTGAAGAACGCCATTGAGAGGCTGATACAGGCGGGCCACTTGTCTCAATTTATCAGGGGCCCTCCGCCCCAGGGCCCCCCTCGTCATCAAGGCCCTCCGCCGAAGGCAAACAAGTGGGTGAACCCCAACACCATCCCCTTGGGAAATCCACAGGGGAAGAAGCGTGAAATTGGGGGCCTCGATGACGAGGGAGAGGGCTCCCATCAACAATACAAGCGCCACATCCACATGATTAACGGTGGCAACACTGGTGGAGACTCCACCAGCCAGCGAAAGAAGTGGGCTCAATCCCTTTACGTTGGAGAGGTCAGCCACATGCCCCCAACTAAGAGGCCGAGGGGGAAACCCATCTTCTTCACAGATGCGGACCTCCCCTCGGGTTCTCTGCCGCATAGGGATGCCCTCGTCATCCGCACTGAGATCAATGACGCCATCATCCTCCGGACTTACGTCGACACAGGGAGTTCTGTCAACGTCATGTATCTCAGCACTTTTCAAGAGTTGGGACTCGACAGAGGGTCCCTTCGGCATATCAACACCCCCCTCTCCGGATTTACGGGGGACAGTATAGACGCCGACGGCGTCATCACCCTCCTGGTTGAATTCGGC